GAAGGAAGACAGGCAGGTTGGCGACAAGGAAGAGAGAGGATGGAATAGAAGAAAGAGGTAAGTAGGATGCAAACCCACTGAAAGGACAGAGCTGGTGGAATGAAGACAGGACTCCCAGCACTCAGGAGGTAAAGGCAGGAGGATCAGAAGTTCAAAGTCATCCTCGGCTACAGATCAAGTTTGAGGCCAGCCTGGGCTACATGAGACTGTGTCTCAGAACAAAAATATAAAAGGACACAGTTGGTCACCCACCCCACTCTGACTCTTAAAATCTTTCTGCCTCCTCTTCTGCAATGCTCCTTTGGGTGCTGGGACGGGGAGAGGAAGTGCCTTACAGGGATGGACTCCCGGTGAGCCCAGTGGATGAGCCCACACTGAAGCACGTTTAGGAACACAAATCTGACTCTATAGGTTGCATAATACACACACACACACAAACACACACACACACAAACACACACCACACACACACCACGCAAACACACAAACACAGGCACACCACACACCCAGAGACACACCACATATACACACACACCACATATACAAACAGACACACACCACACACACACAAACACACACCACACACACATCACAAACACATACACACAATAAATAAATAAATGGATTTTTTTTTTAAAGTAAAGTGGCTGGGCATGGTGGTACACATCCTTAATCCCAGCACTCTGGAGGCAGAGGCAGGCAGATCCCTGTGAGTTCGAGGCCAGCCTGGTCTATACAGTGAGTTCCAGGACAGCTGGGGCTACAGGGAGACCCTGTCTCAAAAGGACACAAAAAGGCAAAGAGCAATTAAGGAAGAAGAATACCAGCTTCTGGCTTCCATATACGCATGTATAGATGTGCACACATGCCTTCACACATATATGCACAGATAGGAACATGCACACATGCATATATCAAAGAAGGAAGGAAGGAAGGAAGGAAGGAAGGAAGGAAGAAAAGACAGAAAGAAAGCAAAGTGTTTGTGCAAGTTGGGCAGCACTAATGGAAGGACAACAAAGTGAATATTCTCTTAATCCCACTGAACTGTCTTAAAATGAAAACAGTTGAAAGGGGGCTGGAGAGATGGCTCAGCAGTTAGAGCACCGGCTGCTCTTGCAGAGGACCTGGGTTCAGTTCCCACCACCTACATGATGGCCAACAACTGTCCTTAGCTCCTGTTCCAGAAGATCCCTCACACTCCTCTGACCTCTGCAGGTATTTCACAACACAGGGTGCACTTACACACATGCAGGCAATACACTCATACACATTAAATAAAAATAATAAATACTTTTTTTGGTCTTTTTGAGACAGGGTCTCCTTGTAGCCCCAGCTGGCCTGGAACTCACTATGTAGACCAGGCTGGCCTCAAACTCACAAAGATCCACCTGACTCTGCCTCCCAAGTGCTGGGCATGTGCCACCACACCCAGCAAGATTTCTTTTTTTTTTAAATGCCTGTTTCAGGGCTGGAGAGATGGCTCAGTGGTTAAGAACACTGATTGTTCTTGCAGGGGACCCAGGTTTGAATTCCAGCACCCACATGACAGCTAACAACTGTCCGTAACTCCAGTTCCAGGGGATCCAACAGCCTCTTCTGTCCTCCACGGGCATTGGACGACATGGGTGCACTTACGTACATGCAAGCAATACACGCATACACATAAAATAAACAAAATACATTTTTAAAAAAACAGTTGAAAGGGCACAGGGCGGGCCTGTGCTGAGCCCCCAGTGGCCACAAGCTGCTGTCTGTATCCTCCAAGTCACCTAGTTTTTTCCTTCTTATGAAAAGTTACACCCCTTCTCTGCCTCACAGCTTCCCTCTGCTCCCTTCCCTGCCCCCTATGCCACCCAACCGTGTTCCTCTCAGGGACAGTCCTTTTTGCCCTCTCCCACCACTTCCTGATTTAAAAGTGTCCCGGCAGTTAAGAGCACTGGCTGCTCTTGCAGAGGACTCAGGTTCAGTTCCCAGTACCCACACTGGGCTCTCCACAACTGCCTGTAACTCCAGCCCCAGGTGATCCAATACCCTCTTCTGGCCCCTGGAGGCACTGCACCTTGTGGTATACACATACTCAGACACACATATAAATATATATTCAAGGGCTGGAGAGATGGCTCAGTAGTTAAGAGCACTGGCTGCTCTTGCAGAGAACTCAGGTTCAGTTCCCAGCACCCATGTGGCAACTCACAACCATCTGTAACTCTAGTTCCAGGGGATCTGATGCCCTCTTCTGGCCTCCACAGGCATTGCGCACACATAGTACACTTACATATGTGCAGGCAAAACACTCATACACATAAAATACAAATAAATTGCTGGGCGTGGTGGTGCACGCCTTTAATCCCAGTACTTGGGAGGCAGAGGCAGGCGGATCTCTGTGAGTTTAAGGCCAGCCTGGTCTACATAGTGAGTTCCAGGACAGCTAGGGCTACAGGGAGACCCTGTCTCAAAAAAGACAAAATAATAAATAAATAAATAAATAAATTAATTAATTAATTAATTTAAAATGTCCTAATGGGGGCTGGGGAGATGGTTCACACTTGCTGCACAAGTGTGAGGCCTGAGTTCAAACTCCTGGCACCCGCATAAGAACCAGGCCTGGCCACCAGAGCACTTGTAAACCCTGGGGCAGTAACGGGCAGAGGCAGGAGGCTCACTAGGGCTTGGTCTTCGCCAGCTCACCTCCAGGTTCAGGAAAAGGAGTGATCAAGCTGGGCACCCTCCCTGGTTTCTTTCTACTTGCACCCACAAACACATCACACACGCACATGCGCGCACACACACACATACACATACACAGTGAATAAAATAGTCTCAGCCCCCAAGGTACTAACCTCCCTCTCCTTATCTCCCTCCTGGCTCCCTCTCTGTTCCTTCCATTCTTCGGGATCACAGCTTCCTGCCCCCCTGAGCTTTGGCCTTCCTCAGGGTCTCCATGGTCCCCGGTCTCCTGAGGGACAGTGTTAGTGTCCTTGACACATCATTATCTAGCCTGATAGCCTCGAGGAGTCCCCAGCAAGTATGCTGAAGAGCCCTTCACTTCCTTCTCAGAAGGCTGTTGTCACCCACCACCTCAGCCCCTGCAGCATTTGGCCCATTCATGTCTGTGATATCTTCTGACCCCTTCTTGCCAAGGTCTCCTCTCTGCTCCCTCATGTCATCTACCACCTTGGAAACTCCTACTCAGCCAGAGAACCCTAGAACCATCCTAGATGGAGGGAACCAGCCATCATGCCTGGGGCTCCTGTCGACAGACACTTCTAGTGCACAGAACACTGGACTGAGTTTCCTGTTTGTCTCTCCCACCAGGCAGTGGACGCGGAAACTGAGGTCATATGTTCATTCATTCTTTGAGTAAATCATCAAATAATCTGTTGAACACCCATGTGTGGAAAGTGAAACTCTGCAAGCAGGTGAGTGAGATGTCGGAGAGTTCAGAGTCTGGTAGGGAGAGGAAGGAGGGAACCAGCCATGATAAGGCTGGGATGGGTTGGCAGTTCATGGGAAACATTCCTCCTCAGGGGCTCATGGCTGATCCCTAACATTTTCTCTGGTGCTCTGTGGGCACCAAGTCCCCTGGATTCAACCTCGTCCTCCAGGCGCTCTTCCCTGAGACTCTGCACGTTGACTGCTGGCCTACCTGGTACCACAGCCTAGAGATGAACATGGATACCTTACCCACTATGCTGAGCTCACTGTGCACTGGTTGTTGAGCGCATCCATCTGACTGTGTGTACACGTGTCTGTGGGGTTCCCTGACACCTGTGTAGAACCCAGCATGAATTGTCCCACGGGGCTGTTCATCCATGCCTCTGTTCCTATGTGCTCAGAGATATGTTTTCTAAAGACAGGTGTGTCTCTGTACTCATCTGGCCCTCCTGGGCCATTGGAGATAGCAGGTAAGTGAAGCCCCCAGTTAGTAGTTCAGGGTAAACAGAAATGCATCCTGGGAGGCCGAGGCGTGTGTGTTCCCACAAGGTGGGACAGGTCTGGGAGAAGTCCAGAGACACTGCAACAAAGCAGCTTCCTGTACAGAAGGATGAACTAGCTTCCTGTACCGAAGGATGAAGCAGCTTCCTGTATGGAAGGGCTGGGAGGATAGTGGTGGGGACGGGAGGTGGGGTGAGGAGGGAGGTGTCAGGCCGTGAGTCACTGCTTGGTCCGGGCATGGGGCTGCCAAGTCCCAGGGACAAATTATAATCATTAGGGACTTTAAGAGGCTGGGGGTGGGGCTGAAAGGGGCAGGTTGGAATGGGACCCCCAGCCCCAGGTCCCACCACAGGCTCACCCCAGTTTATCCTCCATCTCTCCTGCCTTCTCTGTCTCTGTCTGCGTCCCTGCCCCCTACCTCTCTCTGGGACTCTGGGACTCTGGGTCTCTGGGTCTCTGGGTCGGTCTCTCTCTCTCTCTCTCTCTCTCTCTCTCTCTCTCTCTCTTCTCTCCCTGGGTCTCTGCCCCCCCCACTCTCTCTGGGTCTCTGCCCTTCTCTGGGTGTCTCTTTCTCTCTCCAAGTCTCTGTCCCCCTTTCTCTGGGTCTCTGTCCCCTTCTGAGTCCTCCTCCTCCTCCTCCCCCCTCCCCCCCTCCTCCTCTCGGCCTCCCTCTCTGGGTCTCTGTCCCCACAACACTTCTCAGGCCTTCCCAGCCTCATTCTTGAAACCTGCCCCCCAACTCGGATCTCACCAATCCACTGCACATCCACTTTGACCTGGCTGGGAACCTCCCCTGCCCACCCTGTCCACCCTGCCCTGGGGTCACCCCTCCCCCCATTCCTTACAGATTATAGCATCTTTCACCGGGTGGTTCTCGTTAATAACTGTGTCTGCCTCTCTGGTCAGAGATGGGAGGGAGGGAAGGCAGGGAGAGGGGAGAGGGGAGAGGGGAGTCTTGGAATGGAAACTAGTCAATAAAAAAAATCAGAAGGGCGGTGGGGGCAGGGCCAGCTGTCCAGACCAGGGATAAAAGGCTTTGCTGGTGTGGCTGGGAGGACACCATCCCTGCCTCCTTCACACCAGAGCAGAGCCAGGCCAGCCTGCTCAGCCCCTGGAGCCTGTGACCCCACCCTCTCCATCGCTGTCCTACCTGCATGTCACTGAGGGTCTGGGTCTCTGTGTGAGTAGTACTCACTCCCTCTGGGTCTCTTGTGAGCTCCTTCCCTTCGGCTTGCTCTCGGCATTTGCCGGAGCCCAACCTTCAGCTCCAGAATGCTCCTTCTGCTGACAGCACTCCAAGTCTTGGCTGTAGGTAAGAGCGATGGGGTCTCTTGGGGGACTCTGAGAAGAGCTGGGGAGGGTTCTGGGGTGTGAGTATGCTTTGGGACACCTGGTTATAAAGTATAGGGAGGGGTTGGGGCGATAGTTCAGCCAGTAAAGTCCTGAACGGAGTTCAGTGCTCTCCGGGCTCACGGGAGAGAAAGTTGGGTACAGGGGAGCCCTGTAACCCCAACACCAGAGAGGCAGAGACAGAAGGATGCCTGGGGCTTACTGGTCAGCAAGTTCTAGGCCAATGAGAGACCTTGTGTCAAATAAACAAACAAACAAACAACAACAAAAAACAAGGTGAGCCTGGTATGCTGGTACATGTCTTTAACCCCAGCACTCAGGAGGCAGAGGCAGGTCAATCTCTGTGAGATTGAGTCCAGCCTGATCTACATAGACGTTCCCAGCCAGCTGAGGCTACAGGAAGACCCTGTCTCAAAATAAAAAAAAAAAAACCCAAAAGACAAAAAACAAATGAACGACGTGGATATTGCCTGGGAAATGACAGCAGAGATTAACCTTTGATCTCTGTATGAAATACATGTGTGCATGTACACCCAGGTGCACACATGACCACACATGTGCACACATGGACACATGAACACACAGCTGTGTAAATGAATGCATATGAACACACACATGTGCACACATAAACACACATGAAGAGCAGGGAGTAGTTCTGGGGTTGCAGCTGAGGACCTCCTCTGTCTACAAGTCCACATTCCAAGTGGAGGTATCAGGAGATAGGGTTGGGGAAAGAGGATGCTGTAGGTGACAGGGGTCCCAAGTGAGTTCTGTGAGAACGGAGGCCCTCAAGGCTGTCATTGGTCACGTCAGGGAAGAAGAAACCACGTGGAGATGCCAAGACGGAGTGTGAGAGGATGGAGGGAGTTGTGGGGTGAGATGGTGGGTCCCAGGGGCCACACTGGGTCGGGAGGTTTGGAGAGAGAGAGGAGCTCTTTGGACGTGTCGAGGAAGGACTAGTGTAGAATGGGGCATGTCATGGGAAGAAGGAATAGGACGTGTTTATGGTAGCTGCAGAGATGCCTCAGACGTCAACGTGATGGCCGTGCGAGTCAGGACTGGAGATCCTCAGAGTGAGGGATCCTTGGTGAGCTCCGGGTGGGACTGAGAGAGCCTGCCTCAGTAAATAAGGAAGAAGAGCGACGAGGATTCCTGACAGCAACCTTAGGCCTCCAGATGCATGCACACACGTGCACACAGACTCACACATGCGTGCACACCACACACACACACGATGGAAAGCTAGGAGAGTGAGAGTTGATGCACACCTACAATCCCAGCACTCGGGAGGCTGAGGTGGGAGGTTAGCTGAGAGTTTGAGATCAGCCCGAGCTATATGAGACCTCGTCTTAGCCAAAAGGAAAGTACTCGTGAGAGTGTGGCATCAAGAGTTATAGATGTAGCAAGGTTCTGGAGGAGGTGGATGTAGAGTCAATAGAAACCATGGAGGTCACTTGAGGGAGGGGTCAGAAAACTCCCTGGTTGTCAGTCATGACAAATGACATCATAGAAGTCATGAACAAGGTGGATGGGTTTAGGGGTTGGACCACAAGGAGGAGTCTCTGTCAGCTGTGCATTGTGCAGAGTGCCAGATGAGAGAGAGCGTTTGTTTACCTGCTCTTCCCATCCCGCTCACCCGTCTCCTCCTAGCCATGGTCCAGAGCCAAGAAGACGATAACAAGATAATCGGTGGTTACACCTGCATCCAGAACTCACAGCCATGGCAGGTGGCCCTGCTTGCAGGCCCTGGGCGCCGCTTCCGATGTGGAGGGGCTCTGCTGTCAGACCAGTGGGTCATCACTGCTGCTCACTGTGCCCACTCGTGAGTGACCTTGTCCCTGTGGTTTCCAGAGTTCAGAGCCCCAGAGCTTAGCTAAAACCCAGGGCCCTGTGAATAGCCCAGTGTAGTAGCTGGGTCCTGGAGTCTCGACAAGATTCTAGCCTAAGAAACAGATCTCTTGAATTCTGTTTGCGTTCTGAAAGCCAGTCAGCAGGTTTAGAATCTTAAGACCACCTATACATTCATCCAATGACTGAGTTCTACATCAAGATGGCCAGTAGCCCATTCCATACTGGTGCATGCATGGTCTACACCCAGAAACATGGAATGCTACCAGGAGCCCAGAACCCAGTTCAAACATATGATGTAGACATAAATTTGGAACCCATGTTTGTAGCTGTAACATATGGCCGTGCGAATAGAGTCAGTGCCTGGGGAGATGGCTCAGTGGGCAAGGCATGTGCTGTGCCAGTCCACCCTAGTTGGGATCCCCAGAACCCACCTAAAAGCTGGGTGTGGTAGTAGACACGTCTGTAATCATGGCACTCCTATAGATGGGACGTGGAACAGGAGAGTCTCTGGAAGCTTGTGGGGCCAGCCAGGCTGGAGTACACAGAGGCAGATGACAAGACACTTTGTCCCAAACAAGGTGGAAGCTGGGGACAAATGCCCAAGGCTGTCTTCTGATCTCCACATGTATGCCAGGGCATGCAGCCCTCCCACAATAGAGTCAGAATCTAGAACTTGCTCTAGGTCCAAGGTTTAATTCGAAATCATGTTTGAGTATCCTAGAACCCTAACTCCAGCCCCAAGCTTAAATCCCAAGATGTTGATTATAATTCGTAGTTCCATAAGAACCCAGAGCCCCTCCCAGAATGCAGACTTCAGCTTTGAGGTCAAAGTCTAGGCTACCAAGTCAATTCATGAAATCAAATTTAGGCTCATATACAACATGAATGTAACCCAAGTCACTGTTCAATTGAGAACCTAGAGGCTTGAGTCAAACGAGAGTCTAGAACACAGAATGGAAACCAGCCCCCATGTCCTTGGATCTAGGTCATAATCAAGAGCTTTACCTAGAACCCGGTGCTTCACTTGAAGTTGAGGACACAGACCAGGGTCTAGAATCAACAGCTTAGATTGTTACCTGCTGTTTGGTCTGAAACATAGCTTCACCTAGGATCATGAGCTCATACCAATTCTTAGAGCCCTGAAACCAGCTAGAACATAGATCTGAAACCATTGTCTAGAACTCGGGTCAGAAACGAGAGTTTAGCCTATAACCCAGAGCTCCATCTCAAAATGAGCCTCTATCGGTGTCTGGAATCCAGAATCCACCTGACTCAAATCTCAGTACGGAACCCTGAGACTACCCTAGAACAGGAAGTCTGCATTGAAGTCTAGAACTCAAAGTCAGTCCATACTGTAGAACTCAAAACTGAACCCTCAGCTTATCCTGAAATAGAAAGCTCACATCAAAATTATGCCCCAATCCAGAATGGACTAGAACTGACCTTACCTTGAACATGTCTATCACACAGAGCTCACGCAAGAGTCAGAAAGATTTGTCTAGAATATCAGTTCTGATTTAGAGCCTCGAGTTGTAATTTAGGATCCTGTCCTAGTTTGCTTTCAACTGCTGTGACAAAACACTCTGACCAATACCAACTTGGGGAGGAAACGGTTTATTTGACTTACGTCTTCTGAGTCACAGTTCATCACTGAGGGAGCCCTAGGTAGGAACTCAGGGCAGGAATCTGGAGGCAGGAGCTGGAGCTCAGGCCATGGAGGAACACTGCTTACTGACTTACTCCCCTGGCCCCTGCTCAGCCTGCTTTCTTATACAACACAGGCCTACCTTCCCAGGGGTGGCACCACCCACCGTGGGCTGGGCCCTCCCACATTGCTCAGCAATCAAGAAAATGCCCCAATAGACATGGCCACAGGCCAGACCAATGGAGGCAATTCCCCAATTGAGGTTTCCTCAACCCAGGTGTGTCAAGTTGACAACTAAAGCTTCCAGCACGGATCCCATTTAGCACTCAAAACACATGCACTCAGGAACAGCACTAGGATCCCCAAGCACCCCCTGACATATCCTAAACATAGCATCAAGTGAGATTGGGTAAAGAGAGGTTGCCCAGGTCATGGGAAGGGAAGACACACAATGTCCAGCCCACTGCTAATGGGAAGCGGGTGGACTTAGGGTGGTGGGGCTAGAGCATGGGAGGGTCCTCTCACCCTGTCACCAGCATTGCTCTTGGGGTTCCTGGGACAGGACTCTTCACGTAGCCCTGGGCAAGCACAATCTGAGGAGGTGGGAGGCGACTCAGCAGATTGTGCGCGTAGTTCGTCAGGTGCCATATCCCCAGTACCAACCTCGAGCCCACAACAATGATCTGATGTTGCTGAAACTACAAAGGAGAGCGAGGCTGGGGCGGGCAGTGAGGCCCATCACCCTGGCCAGCGCCTGTGCCAGCCCCGGAACTGCCTGCAGGGTGTCGGGCTGGGGGACCACGTCCAGCCCCATTGGTAAGGCGTCCCCACCCTGAAAGATGGATCAGACTCCTGGGTCTGAAGGCTGGGGTCTGGACCCCTGGGTCTGAGGGAGAAGGACTGGGGTCTGGACTCCTGGGTCTGAGGGAGGAGGCTGGGGAGGACCCTGGGTCTGAGGGAGGAGGCTGTAGAGGATCCTCGGTCTGAGGGAGGAGGACTCGGGTCTAGACTTCTGGGTCTGAGGGAGGAGGGTGGGGAGGATCCTGAGTCTGAGGGAGGAGGGCTGGGGTTTGGACCCCTGGGTCTGAGGGAGGAGGCTGGGGCCTGGACCCCTGGGTCTGAGGGAGGAAGGCTGGGGTCTGGACCCCTGGGTATGAGGGAGGAGGAGAGGGTCTGGATCCCTACTTCTGAGATAGAAAGCGTGGCCTGGACCCCTGAGTCTGAGGGAGAAGACTGGTGCCTGGATCCTTAGGTCTAAGGGGGAAACTGGGGTCTATACTCCTGAGTCTGGGGGAGTGTAGTCTGAATCCCTAGGTCTAAGGGAGGAGGCTGGGGTCTGGATTCCTCAGTCTAAAGGAGGAGGGAAGGGGTTGGATACTGGGATCTGAGAGAGGAGGGGAGATTCTGGACTCCTTTTTTTGATGGGGAGGTTGTTCCTGGAGCCCTGGGTCTGAGGGGGGAAGCTGCACTTGGAACCCTGAGTCTAAGGGAAGAAGCTGACCCTGGTAATCCCTCTGTGTCCCTCTAGCCAAGTACCCCACTGCTCTGCAGTGCGTCAACGTCAACATTATGTCAGAGCAGGTGTGCCGTCAGGCCTACTCTGGAGCCATCACATCCGGCATGGTCTGTGCTGGGGTCCCCGAGGGCGGGAAGGACTCTTGTCAGGTGAGGCTCAGGTTTGGAGCAGGATGATTTGGGACTGGGTTTCAGGTACCAGAACATCTTAGGGAGGAGACTGGAGGGAGCAGTCATGTGCCCCTGTAAATATGACCCTGTTATATCTCAGTGCCCTACTCCATCAAATGAGGATAAACATCTCAGGGTACAGAATGGAACTGGTGCGGTCATCTGGAAGTGACACATGGTCATAGAAAAGTGTGCATGTAGAGGAGTTTGGGAGTCTGCAGGGGTTGCTGGAAGTCTGAAGCCATCAGTGAGAGAAGCAGAGATGGGATGTGAGAAGAGATGGATAGGGTCATCTGGAGACAGGGCAGAGATGGAGAGGGTGAGACCCATGGATGGGAACTAGTGCAGAGTCAGTGCAAGGGGAAGCAGCTACCCCAACCCATGGCCGAGGGGGACAGGGCTGTTGTCTCAACTGCAGCCCTTCTGTACTGACTCCATTTCTATCCTTCCCCTTTGCAGGGTGACTCTGGAGGACCCCTGGTCTGTGGAGGGAAGCTCCAGGGCCTCGTGTCCTGGGGGATGGAGCGCTGTGCCATGCCTGGCTACCCTGGGGTCTACACCAACCTATGCAATTACCATGACTGGGTCCAGAGGACGATGCAGAGGAACTGATCACGTCACCAGCAGCCCCTGAGCTTCCACAGCCTCCTCGCTCAGACACTGAGTCCTCCCCAACCCTCTTCCCTCAGACACTGAGTCCTCCCTCGCCAGCCCTCCTCCCTCAGACACTGGATCCTCCCCAGCCCTTCTGTTCAGACAATGGAGTCCTCCCCAACCCTCCTCCCTCAGACACTGAGTCCTCCCTCTCCAGTCCTCCTCCCTCATACACAGGGGTCCAGATTGCAGCCTCCTGCTTCAGACTGAGGAGTCTAGGTCTCAACCTCCTCCCTCAGACACTGGAGTCCTCCCCAGTCTTCTCCTTCAGATTCTGGAATTATCTCTAAACCTCCTCCCTCAGACCCAGGGGTCCAGACCCCAGCCTCCCCCCTCAGACCAGAAGCCTCACCCCCAGCATCCTCAGTCTTAACCATAGGCTCCTTCTCAGCCCCTTTCCGGAGCACTGATTCCAGGCCTTCTTTCTCTACCACTTCATTGTCACTGGTCAAGATCCACTGCGTTCAAAGGCAGGAGCACAAACGTTCTGGACCAGCATCCCAACCCAAAGAAGGCTATTTTCAAAACATTTAATGTCTCTGCAAACCAAATAAATAATAAGAAAAAAGAACTTCTCTCAAATGTTCTCTATGCTTCCTTCATTCAGTCCTTTCCTCTGAGTGGATTCCCATGAATACCACATGCTGACTCAGCAGACCCTAAGCCCTTCCCTGGAGTCTGCCCACCCCAGTCCCAGTACCTGACCAAGATAACACGGTCTTGCACTGTGTTCTTCAGGCTGGGCTCCCCACCTCTGAGCTGCTGAGGTTCATAGTTTCCTAGAAACTGCACATACACAGAGTCCTCCCTCTGCTCACACAGAGTCCTCCTTCTGCTAGTCAGACCTGGGGGAGGACAGCTGAGTTCATGTCCTGGCAAAGGACATCTCCTGCCTCAGACCCAGGGGTCCTCCCCAGCCTTCTCCCCCAGACCCAGAACCATGTTTGATTCAGAGTCATCAGAATTTTGCTATCTCAGACATGCAAGCTTGGTAAACACTGTGTTGTGAATCTTTCTTTTTCTCCTTGAGGACTGTTGATGGGTCTGCATCTGTCTACTTCTTGGGCAATTACTGTGCACTAGTCTTTGACCTAGTTGCTAGAAGGACACAGTGAAGAGTCCTTTCTGAATCCACGTTCTTACGCAGCCTGGATTCTAGCAGTGGGCAACTCACAGGAAACAATAAACAATAAAAAGTCAAGCCGAGTCCCTGTGTGTAAAAAAGGCCATTAAAAGCGGGCTGGTGGCAGGTGAAATGTATACCAGAGACAGAACGTGCCAGCTCATAGAATTTACTGGAAAAGTTTCAGGAATTTTAAGAGCTGGTTGCTAAATACAGCTATTATTAAACTTTGAGTGAGAAATACTTAGGATTAAAAAAAAATTCTTGAGACAGGCTCTCACTATGTGGCCCCAGCTGACCTGGAACTCCCTATGGAGACCAGGCAGGCCTCAAACTCACAGAGATGCGCCTGCCTCTGCCACCATGCCCGGCCTAAAACATTTATTGTTAAAAACACAATCAGGGGCTGGAGAGATGGTTCAGTGGTTAAGAGCCCTCTTGCAGAGTTCCTGGGTTCAGTTCCCAGCACCCACATGATGGTTAACAACAATCTATAACTCCAGTTCCAGGGGATCCATCACCCTCTTCTGGCCTCCTTGGGCATTATTATATACTCACGGTACATTTACATATATGCAGGCAAAACACTCATACAAATAAAATAAAAATAAATCAAAAGAAAAAGGGGCTGGAGAGATGGTTCAGTGGTTAAGAGCATTGGCTGCTCTTGCAGAGGACCCGGGTTCGATTCCCAGCACCCATGTGGCAGCTAATGATCATCCATAACTCCAGTTCCAGGGGCTCTAACACCCTCTTCTGACCTCTGTGGGCATTGCATGACACAGGTGCACTTACACACATGCAGACAAAACACCCACAAATAAAATAAAAATAACCAAATAAAGTTTATAAAATAATTTTGAAGAAAAGTGTATTTAAATCTTTAAAAAAAATCAATACATATAATACCCATTCCTAAACATTTTAACTAAATAAAGGCTGTAGTTGGAGCCCAGTTAGGTCTATTTGATCACAGCTTCTGTGATGAATCTGTTAATTCTTTGCTCTTCACTCTTTCGACTGAATTGGTGGCATAAAGCACTGGAGGGCAAGTTTTACTTTTGTTCACCAGATCATCCTGATGGTAGAGGCAGCAAGATGTGGGGTGGGGGGCTGCTGCTCACAGCTCAGTGGAGAGGAGAAGAGAGGCGAGGAGGGAGGGGAGGGGAGGGGAGGAGAGGAGAGGGAGATGCTGGCCCTCTGCTGGCTCTTGTCTTTTCTATTTTTCTTTAGTCCGGGCCCCCAGTCCATGCGACAGCACCACCTACGTTGACAGAGGATTTTCTTAGCTTAATCTTCTCAGCAAACACCCTCACAATCACACACAAATGTGTACCTCATTAATGCTGTAGGGGTGTGTGTGTGTGTGTACAGAGTTATGTGAGATTTGTTTTTCTGGGGAGATGTGTGACACTTTCTGGGGAGATGTGAACATCCTAGACAGAGAACTGGCCACAGGCCAAAGTAAGGACATCACCAAAGTCCAACTTGGTGAACCAATGAATTTTACTGGGGTGATTCACAGGAGCAGAAATGGCTCACAGAGAGCAGCATCACCAAAGCCCACCCCAGCATGGGTGACAGCTCATGAAATCAGGAAACCTGGAGCACACTGCACAGCCTTCCCACAGCTCCCCAGGTTGTCCAGGCAGCTCAGCTGGTCTGAGCCTCTTTAGGCAGCTGAAAGAAATCCGAAAAAGTGTTATGTTCACGCCTTATATTGATGACCATGGGAATTTATACACAAGGGCCAGTGAGAAGGCTCCGACAGCAAAGCAAAGGTGCTTGTCACCGAGTCTGAAGACCTGAGTTTTATCCCTTAGGACCTGCGCAGCGGAAGGAGAGAACCAATTCTTAGAAGTCCTCTGACCTCCACACATGTGCCCTGGCACATGTGCACCCACACTCACCCGTATCATACACACATACAAATTAGCCAATAAAAATTAAGTATGTTATTTGTAAACATGGATAATTTTACCTCCTACTTCCCCATCTGGGTTTATTTCTTTTTCCCACCTAGTTGCTCTGGCTGCGGTGCCCATGACCATGTTGATGAGAGGTATCGAGAGTGGGGATCCTTGCTTTCTTGCTGATCCCATCACTGTGGAGACAGTTTCTGTGAGTTTGCCACATTGGGTCTTTATTATTTGGAGGTGCACTCCTTCTGTATCTAATTTATTAGGAGTGTTTTGGGGGTTGGTGAGATGACTTGGAGGATAAAGGGGCTTGTGTTCAAGGCGAGACTGATGACCTGAGTTGCATCCTTGGGACCCATAGGGTGAAGGGAGAGAACCAACTCCCACAAATTGTTTTCTGGGGACTGCAGAGATGGTTAGGTGGTTAGAGCACTGGCTGCTCTTGCAGAGGACCCGGGTTCAGTTCCCAGCACCCATGTTGGATGGTTCACAGCCTCCTGTAACTCTAGCTCCAGGGGATCTGACACTGTCTTTTGGCCTTTTTGGGAAATGTACTCACATGTACACACACACACACACACACACACACATACACACACACACACGCAATTAAAAATAAAACTTTTTTTTGAGACAGGATCTCCCTGTAGCTCATACACATAAAAAACAATAAATAAAATATTTTTTTAAAAAATGTTGTGCTCTGCCAGGTATGCCTTTAATCCCAGCATTTAGGAGGCAGAGGCAGGTGGGTCTCTGTGAGTTTGAGGCCAGCCTGGTCTACATAGTGAGTTTTAGGCCAGCTGGGGCTACAGGGAGACCCTGTCTCAAGAAAAAGAAACAAAGTTGTATTCTTATCTCCACATGTGTGATGTGCTATGTGCATACATGAGTGAACACATACACTATAAATATTATGTAATTTAATTTTTTTGAAAAGAATTTCTTTTGAGAGGTTGGAGAGCTGGCTTAGCAGTTAAGAACACTGGCTGCTCTTGCAGAGGACCCGGGTTCAGTTCCCAGCACCCACATGGAGACTAACAGCCATCATTCACTCTAGTACTAGGGGATCCCATACCCTCTTCTGGCTTCCGTGGACATTGTTCACAGATGGTGCACTTACATACATATAAGCAGAACACTTCTATACAGAAAATAAAAATAAATAGAAAAAAATTTAAGAATTTTGTTTTTGGAGACAGGGTCTCACTATGCAGCCCTGGCTGATCTGAACTCGCTGTATAGACCAGGCTGGCCTTGAACTCAAAGAGATCTGCCTGCCTTTGCCTCCTCAGAGGTGGGATGCCCCACAAAAGAGTTTTTAATACTGTGCTTTGTGAAGTGACACTTGTACATTTACTGAGATCATCACACTAATTATGGTCATTAATTCTGTTAAGGTGATGTATCATATTTATTGATTTGTGTATATGAAGCATCTTTTCCTCCCAGGGATAAATCCATTTGATCCAATCATACAATCCTTTTATGCTGCTGAGTCATGTTTTCTAAGTTTTCTTCTTCTTGTCGAGGATTTTTTGCACCTGTATTTATCAGGGATAGTAGTATATGATTTTCTTGACTTACGATGTCCATGTCTGTTCTTCAGAAGTTGCATCTGTGACCATGTGTCCATGTCTGTTCTGAAGTTGTATCTGTGACTCTTATTTTTTTTAATTTTTTATTTATTGTTTTTATTTTATGTGCACATGTGTAAGTGCACCCGTGTTGTGTAATGCCCATGGAGATCAGAAGAGAGAAGAGGGCGTTGGATTCCCCTGGAACTGGAGTTATGACAGTTGTTAGCCACCATGTGGGTGCTGGGAATCATGCCCAGGTCCTCTGCAAGAGCAGCCAGTGCTCTTAACCACTGAGCATCTCTCCAGTCCCCCACACTGTGACTCTGCTATGTGGCAGTCATACAAGCTCTGTGTGAAAAGGAGACAGGAGAAGTCACAGCGCGGAGCCCAGAGAGATGCAGATGTGAGGAACACGGATCTTCACTTCATAATAAAAGCACTGGGAACTCAGAGTAGCAAAAGTAAGGGTGTTTCTTTCATGACTTTGCAAAGCCGAGTGTCAACCAGGAATGGTGGATGTGCTGACTAGGGCAGAGAGCAGCTTTAGACCATCCCACGTTCCCTTTCCTCATGGGCTGAGCAGTCAGGAGGGTAAAATCTTACATTATATGCTCTTATTTTTCCGCCACTTACATGTGTCTGTTTCTCAGCAAAGGCCTTGCATGGGTTCACCTCTATATTTATTTTATGTTTTTTCCTGTTAAGTCGTATTAGGAGCTTGATCTTAAATCTGCGGTTAAGTTTTCTTGTGAATAATTTTCTCTAGAGACTGGAGAGATATCTCAGCAGTTAAGAGCACTGGCTGCTCTTGCAGATGACCCAGGTTCATTTCCAGCACCCACATGGTGGCTAACAACCATCCTTAACTCCAGTTCCAGGGGACCTGATGCCCTCTTCTGGCCTCCTCAGACACTGCTCCTTTAA